CCGTGCGTTCTACATCGTCTACATCTACATCGTCGATGTCGAACGTACTCCCTCGTCCGCCTCGTCCTGTTCGAAGGACCCCCCAGTCCCCCGCTACAGGAGGAGGCCCACCGTGTGTGTGTGTGTGTGTGGTGCGAGAGAGAATGAGAAATAGTCAGTAGGAGGGGAGGGGGTGTTATGAGTGTGTGTGTGTGTGCATGTGTGAGCCTCAATTAGTCGGCCTAACTACCGGGAAATAACTCGTAAATTAGCGCGGACTGCTGACAAACTGCCCCCGCTCCCCCTTTTCCCCCTCTCTCCACTCCCATCCATGCTCCCATCCCGCTTCCCTGCTCTGTGTGGGGGAGGGGGGGAGGGAATGACACCCCGCGGGAAATATTCCCCCCTTCCCCCTGCTCTGCCCCTCTTATAACACATAATCCTATTTATTCCTTTACCACATTACACTTTTGCTTCTGTTTTTTAAGATGTTATTTTTGTTTTGTTTTTCAGCGGCAGTGTGCAAACCCGCACCCACGCGCACCACCACACACGGCCGCTTGCCATAGCAGATGCGCCCCCCTCTTCTTCCTCCCCGATTCGCACTCTTTTATTCATAAAATGGTCTTTTTACGCGACGAGTCAAAAGCACCGCTAAACGAATACTAAAACACTCTATATGTGCCCCCCTACCGCGCCTGCTCCATAGAGGTCCCCCCCCCCCTCATTACACCACGCAACTCCGTGTCACTTTTCTCACCTCTCTTTCTGCAGCCACCCGTGTGAGAGAAAGAGAGAGGGCGAGAGACAGAGAGAGAGAGAGAGAGAGAGAGAGAGAGAGAGAGAGAGAGAGAGAGAGAGCGAGAGGGGAGGGAGAGAGAGAGAGCACGCTCACATGTGTGATATGGAAAAAATTTATAAGGGTGTAAAATTTATATGAGGCAGTGAGCGAGCGGCTTTGGCGAGATGACTCGCTCACCCGACTCCTCCTCGTGTGCTTCGGACGTGCTGCAAAAATGGGACAAAATGAAGATAAAATGGGACATTAATATTATCGGGGGGAAAGGAAGCCAGAGGCAGGGAGGGGGAGAGAGACGGGGGGGGGGGGGGACGTAAGGAGGAAAGCAACAAGAACAAAGGGGGTGGCGGCGACCAGGAGGAAAAGGAGTGAACAAAGAAGATGAAGACAACAGTATTCTTTGAGCGCGCGGAGCGCGCGGCCAAGACGATGCGGAAATTGCGCGCGCAACCATGAGGCGAGTTTCAGTAAATGCTCGGCCAATTACGCGCAAAAAGCTTTTCCTCGCAAAATATAAGTACGACCCTTCCCGAATCTAATGAGGGAAAAAGGGGGAAACTAGCTGTCCCTGCTTCTCTCTCTCCCCCGCATCCTCCCCTTCCCCCCTTTCAAGCGCGCGTCGTCGTCCGTATTCCCGCAACATATCAGCGGGAATTAATGAGGGACGGCAGCGCTTTTCCCCTAACAGAAAACGACCACCCTCCGAAGTCCCTTTTTTGAAATCCCTCAGACGTCCCTTTTCGAAGTTCCTCGGAGGTTCCTAAAGGGAGCAAAAAAGGACTTAGGGATTTCATATTCCCTGGACGTTTGAAATCCCGCGGAAGTTCCGCC